GTTGATTGATTAAAAATAATGTGTGTATGCTTGGGTGTGGGGAGATCGTGGGCCCTAGTAACTTGAGAAATCAGAAAAAGTCTTGTGTAGGAAGAGGCAGTTGAACTGAACTATAAGGAAGCAGGGGTTCTCAGAGGTAGTAGTGACAAGGGTGTGCCCTCCAGGCCATGATGGACGATCCATTTAAAGATAGGCAAATACAAAATGGAATGACAAGTTCAGGGAATACAGGCCATAGATGTTTGGAAAAGAATGTGTATGAAAGGTGATAACATGATTTAAATCAGGAAAAGGTAGCCTTTGTAATCACAAGAACCAGAATACACAGGGATTTAAGTGCCAAACAGAGGAATTCACATTTTATCTCAGAGACAATAGGGAGCTCCTGTTGCTTCTGGATCAGGGGTGACATAGTCAGGCCTCTATTTTAAGGAATAGCATTTTGGGAGTTCCTTGGATGATAGATTCAGTCAGGGAAAGAATTGAGGCAGGGAGCTCCTGTAATAAATAGTTCAGAGGTAAAGAACTGGACTAAGGTGGTAATGGCTGCGTAAGTTGGAAGGGGATGACAATGAAAGAGAAATTGTGGAAGTAGGATCAGTAAGACTTGAAAACTTGTATATATAGTTGAGGGAGAGTGAAATCAAGGATTACTCTAAGGTCATGAACCTGAGGAGACTGGAACGACGTTAGTGCCCTCAATAGAGAGGAAAGTGAGGAAGATGGGAGGGTTTGGGGAGAAAGATTTGTTCTGTTTTGGATATGCAGAATTCAGTAGGACTTTGGTACACCCAGAGAAGCTGATGATCAAAAAATCAATTAACCAACGAATGTCCATTAAACACCTACAATATGTTAGGTACTGTGCGAGGCATAAGAATTATAAATTGAAAAATGTGATAGTCTTTGCTCTCAAGGCTATTTTTACATTGATTGGAGGGATACAACATGTTTACAGATAAGTATATATAGGGTACGTACAAACCCCACCTCAAAAAAAAAAAAAACCAGAAAGTGATTTCAGCATTTGGTGGCAACTAAACTGAGAAAATCAGGACAGACTGAAGAAATAGTTGGACTAGATACAGAAACCTGAGTGTCAGCTGCATAGAGATGATAATTGCCCCTGTGAGAGCAGATAAGATCACAAGGGAGAGTAATAATAAGAATAATAATGGCTTGCATTTATATAGTGATTTAAGGTTTTTAAAGTGCTTTACAAATATTTCTCATTGTTCTCACCACAAGGTAATATTATTAACACCTATTTTATAGATGAGGAAACTGAAGCAGACAAAAGTTGAATATGTGCCCAGGGTCACATAGCTAGTATGCTCCTGAGGCAGGATTTGAACTCAGGTCTCCGTGACTGCAGGTCCATAAAATATATGCAAAGATAATAGCATTAAAATTTAAGTTCCTTGAGACCCAGGACTATTTCACTTTCATCTTTGTATCTTGAGTGCTTAGTATGGTGCTGGGCATATAGGAAGCACTTAATACATGCTTGTTGATTGATTAAAAATAATGTGTGTATGCTTGGGTGTGGGGAGATCATGGGCCCTAGTAACTTGAGGAATCAGAAAAAGTCTTGTGTAGGAAGAGACAGTTGAACTGAACTATAAGGAAGCAGGGGTTAAGTGCCAATCAGAGGAATTCACATTTTATCTCAGAGACAATAGGGAGCTCCTGTTATTTCTGGATCAGGGGTGACATAGTCACCTTAGAGGCCATCAAATCCACACACAACCCCATTTTACAGATAAGGAAACTGAGTCCAGTTTGTCTGGATCATAAACCATATGAAGGAAAGGGGATCATAGGAAATGTTTGGAAAGAGTTTTAAGTAAATTGTTCCAAAGTCATACAGCTTATAAATCACAGAAGCAGGATTTTAACCCAGGCCTTCCTGACACCCAAATCCAGCACTCTCTCCACTATACTAGGAATGACTAGATATTTGGAAGTTCCCACATATTCAGGAGAATAGGGAGAGAATAGGGAGAGAAAATAAGAGGGTTCAGGACAGAACCTTGGAGTAAACCCATAATGAGGAGATGAGATGTGGATGAGAATCCAGCAAAGGAGAACAAGGAGTCAGGCAAAAGGCAAACTGGGAAAGAACTAAGAGAGAGAAGTGTCAGGAAAAAAAAAAAAAACCACGGAGGATAGTATCCAGAAAAAGTGGGCCAAGGTGAAGATAGAGAAAAAGACATGAGATTTGGGATTTAAGAGATCATTGGTAAACTTAGACAGAACACTTTCAGTTGAATGGCATGGTGGGATGTCTGACTGGATGCAAGGGGCAAGAGGAAAAGGATGTGGACAATTTTTCTCTAGGTGTTTGGCTGTGAAAGGGAGGACAGACAAAGGATGAGAGCCTGAGGGGATTGTAAGGTCCATGGAAGTCTGGGGTTTGTTTGGTTTTTAAGGGTGGGGGAGACTTGGACATTTTTGTAGGCAGCAGGAAAGAAGCTAATATATAGGGAGAGAAAGAAAATCACAAAGGAGATGTTTGTAGGGGTAAGCTGTTGGCGGAGCGGAGGGAGGAGCATTAGGTCAAGAGCTCAAGTAAGACTATTTTTTTTTTTTATTAGAGAGTGGTGAAAAGGATGAAAAAATGTGGGTTCAATGTTACAGCTTTTGAGATACATAGCAGGGGAGAAGAGAAGATTCACACTCAGTAATGACTTTTCCATAAAGTATAAGACTATATGACTCATTGAGAGAGTTGAGGAGGGATGCTGTAGTAGAATGGAGAAGAGAAGAGAAAGTATCACATAGGGAGTGTGATAGTCAATTAGGGAAGAGAAATTGAGGATGGAATTAAAGATGCTGATGAGCTGGGAAGTCAAGGTATTTGAGAACATTAGCATATGAACTGGTCTCCAAACAGCTATTTATTGTCTAAGCATTGTTTACTACCTAAGTCCATCCCCTTCATTTTACTTAACCCTGCCTCCTCCAAGTTTGCAACTGTGGCCCAAAGAGATGATGTGACTTTCCTAATGTCACACAGTCATTGAGCTGGGACTAGATCACAAATCTCTACTCCTGTACTCTGCATAAAGAACAATAACCTACATTTAAAATAGCTCTTTAAAATATACAAAACATTTCATATTTTAAAGAGCTATTTTAAATATAGGTTATTGCAAAATATATCATATATTTTGTTCTTTTGAATCTCACAACAAAATGTAAGGTAAATACTGAAGATCTTATCCTCATTTTTGTTGTTGTTCAATCATGTCTAACTCTTCTTGACCCCATTTGTGGTTTTCTTGGCAGAGATAGTGGAGGTGTTTGCCATTTCCTTCTTCAACTCATTTTACAGATAAGGAAACTAAGGTCAACAGGGTGAAATGACTTGCTCAGGGTCACAAAGCTATTAAGTGTCTGAGGCCAGATCTCAACTTATGAAGATGAGTCTTCCTGACTCCATGTCTGGCACTCTATCCACTGTGCCACCTAGCTGCCCCCTCATTTTACAGGTGTGAAACTTAAGACTCAGAGATGATATATGCTCCCTCAGCTCTATCCACTGTGCCATGGTATACAAGATAAAATACCTGTCTTTAATGAACTTCCAATCTAATTGGGAACATACTACTAAATGCATGTAAAGAAGGCCACCAGCAGAGACCAGTCAACCTGACTGGGTTAAAGGATGAAGCCATTATTTATAACTTCAATTATGTCTTCATAGATTTGAAGAGTTTTGATTATGTCTCCTGAATATGTGGGAACTTCCAAATATCTAGTCATTCCTAGTATAGTGGAGAGAGTGCTGGACTTGGGTGTCAGGAAGGCCTGGGTTAAAATCCTGCTTCTGTGATTTATAAGCTGTATGACCTTGGAACAATTTACTTAAAACTCTTTCCAAACATTTCCTATGATCCCCTTTCCTTCATATGGTTTATGGTCCAGACAAACTGGACTCGGTTTCCTTATCTGTAAAATAGGGTTGTGTGTGGATTTGATGGCCTCTGAGGTGTCTTCTAGCCCTAATCTATAATCCTGAGATCTATAAAACGTTGATACTAGTTCTAGCGGTACCTTCCTTACAAGGTAGTTATGAGCTTCAAATAGATGAAGTACATAAAGAACTTTGTAAAGTGTTATGTAAATCTATATAATTATTCTTTGGTTTGGGTCTGTGATTTCAAAGGTATGAGGAACTTCTGTTATGATAACTTTACCTATTAATGAAGATCAGAAACTCATTTGCAAATTGCAGACTTAAACATATTCTGGGAGTACTGAAGGGTTAACTGACTTGCCAATGGTCACAGAGCTAGCATCAGAGATAGTACATGAAGTCTGGTCTTCCTGACTTTGTGACTGACCTTCCATCCACATTTCATGTTGCCTTTCGCAGGTCCAGACTATTTTAATTATTGTCATTATAATTATCCCCATTGGTTAAATGGTGCTTGGAATGAGTTAAGTGGCTTGGGGTCACTTGCAGGCCTATACTAAGGGGGTGCAGAGATTGCTGCTAGGGTGAGATTTCAATAGCCCTCCTCCACCAAATAGTCCTCAAGTGCAAGGTTAAACAACAGCACAAGAGTTAATAATAAAGACAACAGTGAAAGGGTTGTGATAAGGCAGCACATGATTCATTGTCCACATTGAGTAACACAGACAGGAAGGGCTATGAGTTCTAAGCAATCAACCGTTCAC